GTGATGTCAGAGTGATCAGGTTAGTCATTGGCTCTTACTAGGCAGAAGTTTGATGATCTGCTTCAGTTCTTCCTCAAAGCCAACCTCCAGAATCCTGTCAGCCTCGTCAATGATCAGACACTGAAGGTTCTTAAACATGAACCCGGGTGTGTTCTGTGGAAAGAAAAAGAGGTCAGGTACACTCCACAGACCCATGTGGCAAAGCTGTTGATTGTAAAAGGCCATACCTGCAGGTGATCGAGAAGTCTGCCAGGTGTAGCAACCAGGATATTGACTCCATTGGCGAGTTTCTGGGCTTCAGCAGAACGGTTGCTGCCGCCCATGATGAGGCCGTACGTGTGCACATGATGAGTCATCAGCTCCTTCAGCACACCATACGTCTGCATGGCCAACTCACGAGTGGGGGACAAAATGACCACTCCAGTCCCTGACACACACACACACCACAGTCATGATACACCTCTAAGGTCATACTTACGGGTCTGACTGACATCTCCGCTATGAATAGGACTATAACAATCAGAGAATGCCAATACACTCACCATTTCTGGGCATAAATTTGAGTTTGTAGATAAGCTCTATGGCAGGAATCAGGAAAGCTAGAGTTTTACCGCTTCCTGTTTTAGCTGCAGCCAACACGTCTCTATTGGATAAGAATGAGCACACATTCCAAACATGAATACAACAAATGTGATGATTACAGTGCCACTGAAACCCTGCAATGTCTGATGCACCGCAAACTCACCTTCCTTCCAGCAGAGGTCGTATGGTCTTGTGCTGGATCTCAGTCATGGTTTCAAAGTCCATTTCCTTCACTCCCTTCAGTGTATTCTCACTGACCACTTCCGCCAAAGAGGCAAATGACTTGTCCTCAAATGCACCTGAGAAAGTCACCAGTGAGGAAAACAAATCATAGTTATCTAATCATGTCTATGAGAAAAATTTAAATAAATGTCCAATAAACTTGTTATTAAAAATCAGAATTGTTTGTTCTTCACCAGCCAACTGAATAATAAAAAAAAGCCTCAGTGAAATTAAGATTTATCTTACCATTTATTTTAATAGTAATAAAACATCCCTCTATTTTTGTCACTCAATTACATATAAACAGTACTTTTTAATTTATCTTTATCCAAGAAATACAAGTCTAATAAATTGATTTATTTTTTAGAAAGAAAAACATTTTAAAAGATTATTTTGTGTTTCAAATAAAGCAAAAAATACAACTGTTCTTTACCAGTTAACTAAATAAAAGAAGCTTCTGTAAATTTACGATTAAATTATCTTATTTTATTAGTAATAAAACATGCATCTCTTAATTTGTTGTTCAATTGTATGTACAGTAGGGCTGTGCAATTAATCGCATGCGACTGTCATGCGCATCTCGTCAGTAAAGCCGGTTCCGTGATTAGTAGTAAATCTCCAGCACGTGCTTTCAGATGGAGCGGCATTTACTACACAGAGCCGTAGTTCACTGACAAGCTAGGCGATTTCGCGTTCATAATCGAATGAGATTCATCTGCAATTATGAACAATATTGCCTAATTGTCAGTGAACTACGGCTCTGTTTGGTGAATGCCGCTCCATCTGAAAGCACGTGCTGGAGATTTACTACTAATCACGGAAACAGCTTTACTGACGAGATGCGCATGACAATCGCATGCGATTAATTGCACAGCCCTACTGTACTGTATTC